TTAGAATTCGCCACCCAAGCGTCTGAACAATAACATACGGAGGTCCTGGCTACATTATAAGTGACACAAGATGGCGAAAGAAAACCTAAATTTCGAGTACGTTTAGAGACTTCGTCAGTTAGCAATTCACGAGGACTAATAAGACTTTCAAAACAATTGCTCAAATTAATTTATGTGTTGACAACCAGTCAGTTTTACTTGAATTTAAATAATTTTATGGATAATACCAGTCGGTGATGCAGATGAATTGCAGATTGAACTAATTACAATGAGTCGGTTTACCGTATCCATGTATTCATTTACTACAATTCTTTTGTTCCATTCTTTTTAACCAACTTCTTGAACAAAAAATGACAATCTATTTCATAATAATAACAGACCATTTTTATTAATAATTTACTCAGGCAGAAATTTGAAAGTCAAACCTATGAGATATTAAATGAAAAATATTAAAAATAGTTCAACATGGATGTATCCAAATAATAGTTGATGTGTAGTTAAATCTAAAGACTTTCTTAACGTTGTTACATCCTGGTGAAGACTAAATTACGGGTAACTACTGTGAACTAATAATGGACTAATATTATATATATATATATATATATATATATATATATATATATATATATATATATATATATATATATATATATATATATATATAATATATATATATATATTTCCCTATTGTGTAATTGCTTAGTAACTAGATTATGTATATCTGTATTCCTCTTATTCTGAGCTTCATTTTGACCCATAGATTATTATACAATTTACTATTCTTAAGTTATGTTCAGTTTATTGATTACAGTCTTCCGCGTTCACAGCCAGTGTTTTGGCTTGATTTTGTATAACTGATATCTTCTATTTATGGTGCGCTGCGGTCTGTTTGGCTGGTATATAGACAAAGTATGTTTGAAATAAACGATTCGCATAGTGAGAACTGTTATTGGCTTCCTGCAATAAAGTGGACGAGCTAAGCAAACAGTGCATCAACAAAGACGCTATGCTGTTCATACCGGTCGAACTTCATTGGTTTAGCACAGTACTAGGATTGTACAAGTCGTATTCCGATTCGAGAATAAATCATGTCTTAAAGTCACAAAAAATCTCATGTTTTAATAGTTGCAATTATGAGTCAATCGAAGCAAGACCACTATGGAAAACCTGGAAGCACTGGATGGCCGTCTCGTCATATTGTGGGACTCCTCAGCAGTGCGTATACACAATCCTGCCTTGTGGGATTTCAACCCATAACCGATCAGTCTCGCGCGTGAGCAATTAACCACTAGACCACTGAGCCGGCATCTAATGGTATTAATGTCTAACTCCAAACAATCCACGAAACTGAGCCACCGTCCACCACTCTTCGCAATGAGTTAGTATCTCACAACAGACCTGGTTGAACTCCACTGCTTCTCACCAGAACTCCAGGATATACCTGTTGAAGTCAGTCATTAGTGAGCGTGTGTTGATTAGTATCAGAATGGGTTTTGTGGAGATTGTCTACGGTGATCATGCTTCAATTGACTCATGATCTCATGATGTAAAAAGAAAACTTATGCTCAATAAATTATGGACCACTTTTACATATAACGTAACTGTTAACTTCAAGTGGATTTTAATGTTAAAAAATGTATAACAATGAACATAACTAACATTTATACCATCTACTTATCTTATCTAATAGGTGTGATTACCTAACTATACTGTGTATTTATTCCCGTTAGAAATAACATTTCAATCCATAATAGTCCTTACATTTAAGACATGGAAATGAAAGCTTCTGTTTTTTTTTCTTAAACTTTATATAGCCTACAGAAATCTATGAAATATGTAAAGATATTTAATAATCTTTCTTCTCATAACTATATATATATATATATATATATTCTAACATATCATTCGTCCATTGAATGATTCTATTAACTTAATCTACCTAACAGATAATTTTTTTCTTATTTCAGTGACTACACGTCAATTGTAGACATTGTTTGAGTCAATTATCTCTCATTGTAACTATCTACTTGTTTACTTGTTTTTTTTCTTTTTTTTATAAATAAGGATTATTAAAATGAATGTTCATTAATTTTTTCTTGTTTGAAAAAAGGAAAATAAACAAAATTAAATTTGAAAACGAAATAAAAACATAATACAAAATTGTATCTAAGAGAACTTTTGGGGTAGGACTCTAATTTATGGACGAGCCAATCAGAAGCGTTTAAGGAATTTCAAGGTCACGGCGGTAAGTTCAGTGCAAGATGCTCACATTCGATCGTTTTACGGCAGATTTTAGAGAATAGGTGATCGTTGAGAGACTACAGCAAATGGCATTGTTAAGAAGTTCCTGTGTCTGTGACTGCGGCAATTAAATGACCGCAGCACGATGTGCAGACTGCCACGATGACATTGTATGTCGTTGTACTATATGTTGGAGAATAAAATCTGCTCGAACTGGCACTTTTTTGCCCGGTCACGGCTAAGGCTAAGACAAACCATGATAATCGTTGCAAATTGGATCATAAAGTCTCAAGTAACATTAGCTGCGGCTATACCGATTATTGGAAAGTGTATAGATGCCTCTCCAGACTTGGTTTTGTGCATCATTTTGTGGTGCACAAACGTCATTTTGTTGATCCAACGACGGGGGTCCATACAAACAACATTGAGGGCGTGTGGTCTAGGCTGAAGTATTTTTAAAGACCCTACCACGGCTCCAGAGGACGATTATTATGGAGTCATATGGACGAGTTCTTATACCGCATGCACTATGATTTCAAAACTTCTGAACCTTTATCAAACCTCAACAAGTTCTTAAATCATGTAAAGAAGAATATCCATTGTAATTCATTACTTTTTTATAATGTATTTTTACTTATACTAACTCTTTTCTGATTGGCTAAAGCTCTCAAGGTCACTTAAAAATTCGTTCAAAGGTCGTCCATAAAGTAGAGTTTCACCACTTTTGGTTTGTTGTTAATTTTTTTTAAAAAAAACCAACAACATGTCACTTAGATTTGTGAATAGAAATTTTTAAAAAAACTTAGATCATGATGTGAATATTAGTCTAAAACAATTAGTCCAATTTGATAAATTACGATAATGCAATGAATAAATGAAGTTTATTAGAATTATGTGGTGATATATTAGTGTATTACATTTCCAACAATTTGATGACACACATAAACTTATTAAGATATTTTTATATAAAAATTAAAAGGTCAACTAGACAGGTTAAACATAAGTCATAACAAGGAAAAATAATAATACTAAAGTAATTTCAATAGTTGAGATCATGAGCCAATTAAAGCTAGACCAACATGGAAAACCTGGAAACACTAGATGGCCGTTTTCGTCCTATTGTGGGACTCCTCAGCAGTGTACATTCATGATCCCACCTCGCAGGATTCGAACCCACGACCTATCAATCTCGCGTCAGGCACTTAACCAACTAGACCACTGAGCCGTCCGGTATCCAACGGTGTTAATGTTTTACTTCAATTAATCCACGAAATTGAGCCACCGTACACCATTGTCTTCAGTGAGTTACTATCTCATAACTGACCCTGGCGCGAAACCAGTAGGTCCTGGGTTAAGATCTTGCGAGGCGAGGTCGTGGATACGCACTGCTGAGGAGTCCCACAATAGGACGAAACGGCCGTTCAGTGCTTCCAGATTTTCCATGGTGGTCTAACTTCAATTGACTCATGATCTCAACTGTTGAAATTACTACAATCCTCACAAAACTTCTTTTGATAATATTAAAGTTCACAAAAACAAATGTGATTAACACTGTTGATAATAAATCGGTATTACCATGGTAGGTTAAATGTAATGACAAATTGTTTTTTGAACACATAAAGGGGGTTTCGATTTCCGTATAACTAAGGCTTCAATAAACCTTAGTATACGTCCATGAAGGCTTTTGTATAACACTACAAATGCTGTGACTTGATGTCAACCTTATGACCAGTCTCAATCAAATGTTTCTCAATCGAGGATGATGTCTATTTATCCTGTGATCTTATTTGATCATTGGAATCCATTTGTTTCTGCAACCATTTTGTTATGTGTTCACCCACGCTTAATTGGAAATCATGATTGCTCCTCTCTATGTACGTGTTTCAGCACATACGTTTAATCTATCTAGTTTAATTTTCACATAAAAATGTCTTAACAAATATACGTGTGATCAGATTGTTCGAAATGTATTGTGTAAATATATCACATAATTCTCATAAACTTCGTCTTCTCATTGCATATCAGAAGTGAATATTATTATTAGAATGTAAACATAAATCCAAAGTAAAGTACAAATCATATCCTTCAATAGATTAACTAGCTAGCAACTAAATTCATTTCATTTATAGCAAAATCAAGAAAATAATCATTCAGATATATATACATATTAACTGACTAAAATTGATTATAATTCACTTAAGTCTGTTAGTAACGGAATAATTCATATTCTTTCTAATAGTGATTTATTAGGATTAATGTTTTAAATCTAAATTCAGTCTCCTTTTTTATAATTTGGATAGGAAAATTCATTCTTCTTTTTTTCTAAGTATGATGATTTTGTTCTTCAACAAGAAAGAAATATCATAAATAATAATAATAATAGTAATAATGATAATAGGAGTAAGTAAACTAATAAGATAAAGTCAAATTCTATTCTGTTTTAATATTACTACTACTACTACTACTGATATTGATACTACTAATAATACTATTACTGAATTGTTTCTAGACCTATATCACAAAGATAAATTTATTACTTTAAAACAACTAAATTAATTCCCATTTATTATTTACTTTGATAATATTTAAGTTTCGCTTTTTTATAAAATGCATTTATTCAAGACAGGAAATCAGTCAGTTAATTCAGTCAGTTCATGTCCCAATTTCTCTGATATTGTAGATACTGAATATAAATACTTTCTTTTTTCTTTTTTTTTAAAAAAATAAATGCTGTAATAAAATAATTTGTTGGTACTTACTTTATTATTGCTTCCTTGGGTTGTTTGAATAGCAACTGATGAAGGAGATATGGATGGAGGTAACTGAAAATTTAATTGAAAAAATCTGACAGTTGATATAAATCAATATAAGTAGTTCAGAATAA